ATCCTTAATTCCGGTATTGATGGGGCAACTGGTAAATTCCGATAAATTAGATGTGTAGAAAATCATTTTCTTTCTTTCTATCTGTTAGTCATATGTTACCTCCTCTGTGTGATTGGAAGAGATCCGACCTGGACTGTAACATATGGAACTCTATTTCTTTGCATATTATACATACATATATATATATATATATATATATATATATATATATATATATATATATATATATATATATACATATGAAATTCCTCTTATCTGTTAGCCATATGCTGTCTCCTTAGTGTGACTAACAATCCGACCTGGTACATAGCATTTGCACTATAAGTGATAATACTCTGAATCTATCTTCTCCCCTAATGATGGTCTGCTCATCCGATATAAGGAGTACTCTGGAAGTCCTTGATTACCAGGGCATATCTGGAAGCGGGAAACATGTTCCAGTACAATTAAAATTGAACACTCAAAGATTGTCTATAGATCTCGCTGCTCAATTTAGGTGGACAACAATATCCCTGGTCAATATCCCTGGTCGTCGTCAGCTGAATGCTCCTTAAGATATAGTATCTAGAAACTTAGGATCAGATATAATATCTAGGAACTTAGGATCACATTGTCTTGTCACTTATAGTATGTCCTAATTTTGTCACAAATTTTCGTGTTTAAGTGGACAACAATACCGGTGATCGACCAGACAAAGACGTGAAGATAGAAGGTACCGACAAGCGAATAAAGGTTGTCTAAAAAAACTTTGATCTCAAATCATTCTTAAAGTTAGATATCATTTTATTTTTGTTAAATTTGTTCATAGTTTAACTCTATGCACAAATTTTAGGGGGAGAATTAAAAATAATTCAAAAATCAAACAAAAATCAGAAAATTAAAATCCAAAAATAGTGTTATTTCTTGTTCAAAAAAATCTAAAAATCCAAAAATATGTTTTTTGTGTGCTAATTTTTCTTTTACTTTTGTTTTGTCTTGAAAAGTGATTTCAGGTATAGATAAGACTCATGGAGACTGTATCGAGATTTTCTGAGCCAAGGCTTCATCCGTGATCATCGAAGAATTCGCATTCGAAGGAACAAGAAATGAAGATTATTCTTTCAAAATTTAATTTGTCAACCCTAGAAGCAACGTGAAGCTGAAATTGAAGAATATGTGACAGATTGCATTGAATCCTCCTCAATCAGTCTGCTTCTATCTTTGTACCTGCTGAAGTGATCCAGAAGATTTGTTCTCTCTGTAGATTCTCAATCAGAAAGCGCTATCTTTCAACAATCAGTACATCAAGCCTCCTCACCCGACGTGCGTTCAAAGCCAAATTCTGAAGAAAAGCCCAACCTCTCAATATGAAGTCATTCATTGAAGATTCATCAAGTTCATCTTGAAGCTGTGAAGAATTTGAAGATTAATGCTGAAGCCAAGCTCCCAATGAAGATTAACAAGAAAAAGCTAGCTAATTTTTAGGGGGATTTGTTGGGCCAATTAGAAAAGAAAGCTATAAACCAAGGGGGAGATTTTTGGATCAAAAATATGGTTTATACTTTGCTTTTCTAGGAAAATATGTTTTTATGTGACGTTGTATGTGTTTGCAGTTTGTGTGTACGGCCGCACACCCTGTGTATGGCCGTACACAGGGTGTGTGGCTGTACACATGTGTATGGCTAGAGGTCTATATAAATAGAGGAGTGCATGTGCGAGTGTACGGTGGTAGAAGAGAGCATCTTCTAGAGAGAGAAAGCTAGAGAGAAGAAGTGTGTGTATGAGATAATCTATTGGAAGGAGCATAATTCATTTCATTAAGACATCATAGATTCATCTTAATTCTTCTTCTCCTTCTCTTCTATATAATCTGATTGATTTGGGGACCCAAGTCATTACAAGCCTGGGTCCCAACCGCACACACCAACCGCACACTCCAACCGCACACTCAATCCGTACACTCCAACCGCATACTCAACCGCACACTCCAACTGCACACTCAACTGCACACTCAACCGCACACACCAACCGCACACCTTCAACCTCCAACCGCACACCTTCAAACTCCAACCATACACCTTCAAAGTTCCAACCGCACACCTTCAAATTGATACTGAATTGGCTCTGATACCAATTGTAAGTCCCAAAAACTATGGATCCAAATCAGTGATCAATTAAGGCAAACAATCAAAAGAGTATAGAAGGAGTAGAAGAAGAATTAATCCAAGCATTCACACATCTATTACGAATAAATGTCAGGTACACCTTGGGAAAACACACACATACGTCACTGACGTCTCTATATAACTGACACAGACACACTCTATTTATAGGAGCACCATCAGGACACACGATGGCCGCACACACGTGTATGGCCGCACACAGAGTGTGCATCCGCACATAGAGTGTGCAGTCGCACACACTCGCTAACATACTACAACGAACATAGCAAACCCCAAGACCCTACTAAGACCTATACAAGATGAATGCCTAGCTCAAACCACAAAATTGTGACCTAACATTTGGTTTTGCTATCGTAAAGTTGCATTAACCGAAAGACATGTTTTGGTGATTTGGCATAATTTTTTTTCTTTAGTGAAAAAAGCAAAGTAAAAATATAATTGTAGAAGCTTCTCCGATTTTCAGAGCCAGGTTTCGATTCTGGGACCTATCGGTTATTGGCCCACCACGCTTCCGCTGCGCCACTCTGATTTGATGATTGTATTATCCAATTATTGACAAAGATCGCTAAATTCTAAAAAAGGAAGAGTTTCCAATATCAATATAGAGTAGAATCCTGGCCGATGACTCTATTAACGTCTTCACTGAATTACAAAGATTCATTAACCACACTTGGACTAAAATCCAAATGGTGAATTTATTTCGAATGTAATGTGTACGCACCAATTTTAAAAACAATCTATATGAGTCATTTGACTTACGTCTTTGATTAAATCTTTTAAAAAAAATAATGGACCAATATTGTGCTAGATAAAATATCCGTTTGGGATTATGCAACGCAAAAAAATTGTGTATATATTAGTTAATTTTTAAGGATTTTTTAGATCACTACAAGAAAAAGACCCTTTTACGACACGCAAACCACGACGCTCGTTGATTTACGTTACGCAAAAGCGAGTGACATTAAAAAAATGTCATCTCTTCAAAAAATTTAGCGTCATAAGAAAAAAAATTAAAAACACGGAGGGTGCTGTATCTTAAGTGGGCGTCCTTTAGAAGTGTTGCTTGATAAATTTAATGAAAAGGCGCGTTTAGTAGATTTGGGGAAAATGAAATCCCAAAAATTTTGAGAACCCACTTCTTTTTTATCCTCCACTTTTGTTCTTAGTTTCCCTCTTGCCCTAATTACGATACTCCTTCTTTCCTCCTCTAGAGAGTGACTGTTGGCTTGCCCTAGTTATCGACGCTCCTTCCTTCCTTCCTCACTTGCCTTCTTCGCCTTACAATATCTGCAGAAGTACAACTCTGAAAGCGTACAAGTCGGACTTATGTGTCGGAACTCCGGTAGACCGAAATTCAGGCGGCATGTAGCCTCGTGTGCCCTAAAATTTCATGAATCTTGAATTTAGCTTACTTGAATCTCGTTCCAAGTTGCTATCGGTTTCACCACAGAGTTCTGCCGTTCAATACTGTGATTAGGAGTCAGGTTGTCATCTTTCATGTCGCTAGAAAGACGAAATGTAAAGTTGAAGAAGACGATGAGTCGATTGGTTTTTCCAATCATTAATTTGTCAAGAGACACTTACGTCGATAGGTAATAACTATATACTCTCTCCATGTGTACTGTTTATGTTAAGAACATAAGAAGAACAATAATTTTCCTAAACTCTCCTCTCTCATCTCCCGATTTCTAAATACACCTCCATATCCTTATTTTATGACTTTGCTAATGTCTCTGCTATCTAAACTCATCAGACCTCGCTTATCACTCACCCCCTCATAATCTGGTTTCTATTTTCTTTAATTTCTTTATTTCCTGATTTCTAGATATGGAATTGGTTGTGGATTCTCCGATTCCTGATTTCTAGGACTGCAATTTAAAGAGTCATAAGAGTAAAAAAGGGATTTCTAAATTTCTGATTGATTGATAATAAGACTCCAGGTATAATTTTTATGCCCAACTTATAATTTCTCATTTTCTAGACTTATGATTTCCAAATTTCTAGAGTTCTTGTATTTATTTTCATATTTTTGTGTTTTGATTCAGGACTAGGAGTTACATTTTTTCTTTAATATTGGAGTTTGGTGGAGGTATATACTCTCCCTTGGCAGCTTGTGAAATCCAAGATCAGGGCACAAGCGATCCAGGTTCTCATGCTCTGATTCTCGATCTCCAGTCCATTCCACCTTGAATATACATCTAGTTGTTGAACCAATAGCCTTAAATATCGGTAAGAACTCCTTATCTATAAACTTCTCACAGAAATTCATAACTATGTAAGTGTTCTAGAAGCTGCTGCGATTTTTGCTTCTACAGGTGTAATCTGGGTTTATTTCTTGTTAAGCATCAAGATGAATATTTCTTTTGAGCACCAATTAGGAGACGAGTGAAAGACCAAAGGGTGTACCAATTAATGTTTTAGGAAAATTCCATCTTGGCAATCAAACGATTAAGCCCATGAAGAATCAAAAGAAAATATTGGTAATATAAAATATATTTTATGACTTTATCCAAGTGCTCTCAATCTATCGGTTTTGGAGATATCGAAGCCTGATTTGATTCCATTGTCTTGTTTCAAATGGTCTTGAATTTGAATCTGTTTATAAATCTATTTTTAAGCTATGACACTCTAAATAGGCTAGAAAAGGGAGGTGATAAGTTGTGCACACATGGTGTTTAACAAAAATGCCCAAGAGAAATATAATTGCGGGTTACACCCAAAACGTTGGTTCTGTTGTTGATGTCCTTGACCGGAGGAAAAAATGGTTTTTTGTTTTTTCAAAAACAATAATATTATAATAAAATTTAAAATAATACTAATTTGCTAAAGCATAAATTCATGTGGCTACTGCTTTCTGTGAATTCAACCATGGCTTATGCTGCTAAGTTGACCGATTTTTTGGTCACCAAGCACACAAGTGCACTAACTCGGCTGTTTACAGGTGCACTACAAAAGATGAAGCTACTAACAGCTCTGTGTTTCCCTTACGTGTTGGCACGAGGGGTATTTCCGGTATTTGGTTACCCGTTGGTGGTGAACTCAGTTGTTTACAGGTTTGCATGGGTGGGGTGTTTAAGTTTTAGTATGGTAATCGATAAAAGGTAAAAGGTAAAAGTGATTCGGGATCATATCATATCATATTATCATATATTGATATGTTATCCTATATTAGTGGCTTATATTAGTGGCTGTTTGATCAATGTTTGTTGACACAAATATATGAAATGTGTTACATTATCAGATGAGATGCATATTCTAATAATCTTTAATGTTTTCTATATTATTCATATGCTAATAATCTTTAATGTTTTCTATATTTGCAGCATTAATCCATTTAGTCTTATTGGAGTTGGATTATATGTTTGGACTTTTGCAGCAACTGGATGTGGGATTTCAATTGACTTTTGGTCAATCACAATCTGCAGAATGTGAGTTGACTATTTCAATTTTCAATCACACATTTGACTTTTTAATGGTCAAACATATGAATTTTTAAAGCCTCGAGATTTATGTATATTTCAAGTTCTTTACATACAAGTTGTTACCCTTTACCCTATTTTTAATGTTTTATGTTCTGGCTTTTTTTTTATATCTAATAATGAGCCTGTGATACATACGAGTTGATTTAGTTCTTCAATTGTTAGTGAATCTTTTTGTCACTAAATCTTTTAAATGATTTAACAACAAAGTGCATGCATATGATGGAGCGTCAAGTAGTTAACCTGTCTAATTCCAATAATGGAAGCTACTAGTGTCAAGGGAAAATAAGGCTCGATGCGTCTTTAAAAATTCATGGTATAAATGCTTACCTTGACGACTCTCCTAGACTTCAACACTCCCAGATTATAATTTAAAATAAATAACAGTTCAACTTTCAACACTAAGGTACAACACGCTTCACTCTTATTTCAATTTTTGGTGTCATCGTGCCTTATTTTTGTTCAATTGGTTCATGGATATTGATCTTTTACATACTTCTTGGGGACTTCAGTTTCATAGCTGTTAGTAGCTTTTTCATGGCAGATGTAATTAGCAAGAAGCTTCTACTCTTTTTTGGTCTTCTTCTTGTTGCTCCTCTCGTTGTTTATCCTCTTAAAACTGGTTGTGGAGGATTAGGAGGTAAATATATAACAGATCGAAGAATTTAAGTTCAACTTTTTTTCTCTTGATTTTTAGCTATTTTTGAACTGTAGAAATTATCGGTTAATTAATATATTGTATGTAGTAATTACCGCATGTAATTTTACAAAAAATAGGTTAAACATTTTGTTCTTTCCTTTAAGGGTTTTAGTTCTTGGTTTTTGAGGTTATTTTTGTTTCTGATTTTTTGGTAGGAGTGAATGTTGATGATGTTAGAGTTACTGGGGATGCACCTGCAGCACGTGGGGAAGCTAACAATGAACTTTTGGAATTTATGGGGAATGTTTGATTCCTTTTTTTATATTTTTCTATTTTTTTATTTAATATTTGAGTTTTTTGAATTGTGTAGGTGAAGAATATGATGATATGCGATGTGTTGGTTTAGGTGTTAGGTTTGAGAGTAGGTAAGATGACACTTCAGAGAGGGTGGAACAACAAGTGTAAGCTTCTTGTGGTGAGTTGAAACAACTTTTTTGTAAATTTTGTTTTATTTTTTATTTTTAATTTTATCTTTTAGTATTTTATAGTATAATAAAGATGGATATATCATCTGAATTTGATGAATATATTGTGGAACAGGTGGAAAATTTGAAAGGCAGATAGGTATATGAGAAACTGCTTGAAGGTGTGCAACCTTGAACTCTTTGTGTGATCTTTATATGTAATTAATTGGGTTTTTCAAACTACAATGTCCTAATAAGAAAAAACTGTCCATTTTGTAACCACAGCAATGCGGAATCCTTCCCTAGTTATAATTAAATTTTATGGTGTTTCTTTGTTATCAATGACAAAGTTTGTTTTTTCCTCATTTTGCATTGATATATCCGAAAATACCTAATAATTAGATTCTAACTATATGGCATATAAGTGTTATGATTAAATCCGGTCACCTGAACCAGTTCAACTAGCGATAGGGTGTTTGGATGTGCGATTTCAAAGTAATTATTCTCACTTTTTTATTTCTACAATAACCATTATAACTAAAGAACCAGATAACTATATATTTGATTAAGGCCGTTAATTAAGTTGTAACATATTAACTTGATAATTTGATTCAGGTGAAAATTTACTCTTTACTTTACTTTTTTTACCCATAATACCAATATATTAACAATTTGTTTTATATTTATGTAACCAATCACCAGAGGGGTTCATGGGTGATGAAGCGAAATTTTCGTATTCCATTAGAGGAGCTTAGAAGAATTGTGACACTAGAAAATGTATGTTTTCACTTTTCTTTAATCTTTATCTTTATATTCCTTTTCTTTTATCTTATTTTTTGTGTGTTAGGTGTGTGCTTTTGAAAGCATGCTAGCTGGAATGTACAGACTGGAACTTCTAGGAATCAGCATGACTCATCCATGTGGTTTCTCCTCTGCAATGAATCAACTCCCTACTAAAGCAATAGCTTTAGCTGCTGCTTCTCACATCGAGAGAGAATTACAAATAACTCCCTGGAATTTAAGCAGCAACTTTGTTGTACGAATCAGGTAAAAAAACCAAACAGGGACTTAATACTTAACTGGATATGATTTATTAGTTTGAAGTCTTAAATATTTTTGTTCAGGATAGAGGAAACATTGAAAGATTGGAGATTAATGGTATTGGTGATCCATCTGGTAGAGGATTAGGATTTAGCTATGTTTGAACAGCTCCCACGCCTCCAGTTTCATATAACATTGCAAAGAAAAAAGTTGCTATAAATCTCAAGGCTCCAGTTTCAAATAACATTGCAAAGAAAAAAGTTGCTATAAATCTTGTTTATAGTGAGGCAAACATTAGGTTATTAGAACTATTAGTTTGTAAATACTTCTATTGATTTGTTTTATCTTTCCATGGAACAATTATTTGTATGAAATTAAATTTTATGTAATGGATTGTATTTTTTGTATATGATATTTTATTTTCTATTATGAGACATTGAATCGAAATTTAATTTGAATATTAGTAAATCTACAAATAATATTTTTTTTAAACATTTAAAATTATGCTACGCAAAAATATGCGTCATCTTCATTTATGACATGGCCTTTCTTGATAGGGGCTTTCTTGATACGCATTGTGTGTCATTAGCACGCGCGTCGTAAGGTTACGACACGCGAATGCGTGTCGTCTTCCTTTATGACAGGGCCTTCCTTGATACGCATTGCGTGTCGTAAACGGGCGTCGTAATTGCGCGTTGTAAATGAGCGTCGTAATTGCGCATCGTCTATAGATGGCGTGCAAAAGCGCGTCGTCTCTCTTTATGACAGCGCCTTCCTTGACGCACATTTGCGCGTTATCTGAGCCTTTTACGACGCGCAATGAGCATCGTAAAAGGCTGTTTTTCTAGTAGTGGATGCTTTTGGTCCATTTTAATTTGGGTGATACTCAAGTGCGGTGTAGATTAGTTGATTGAAGGATTTAATTTATGATGTGTTTATATGATTTAACATAGTGTATAAGCTTTTGAATCCGATTTTCTAATGGACGTTGGTATGATATAAATATAACTTTCATTGGTTTACATGTGTTACTTGAGTTTGTTTTCTTAGTAGAGTATGAAGGTTATCCGATCCCCCGAGTTCATGTTCTTTCCAACCATCGCTATCATGCTTTATTTTTGTTTTGTTTGATGTTATCATTTTCGTTTCATCTTAGCTCATTCACAATAGTGCAATACCCGCCGCCAACCGCTATAGTGATGGGTGTCACCTCATCACCACAACCTATCACTATGACCGTAGGACGCCTTTCACCGAACACACAACTCCACATAGGCTTGCCTGATTAATAGTTTAATTACTGAAAGTTTAATCAATTTTATTGAAAAAAAGTTACAAGAAATCAAGAATAGCGTTGAGGTTGAACATTCTAAAATAAAGGAATAAAATTAAAAAAACAATAACAATAGAAATAATTTATATATGTATGTCACGAGAGCAATACAAATATTTTTTTGCCAAACTTAAATTTTTAATTGGTTTAGTAGATTAAAATGAATAACATGATTACAATGAAACTAAATTAAATGACGAATACCATACTATTGACAATTAAAGAAATAGAACTTTAGAAAGATAAGTAATACATTATTATGGGTCGTTATTTTTTGTGTATATATTGTTGTTTCTTGTCCCTCTCTTTTATCTTGTTCCTTTTACATTGAGTGTTTTAACAATATATGGTTGTTTCCAAAAAAACAAATTTCAAATCCGTCTTGGTTAATATTTTTTTTGTAGTTCTTTTTATTGTTGTTGAAGGATGGGTTTTATAATTTAGCATAAGTTTGGTGTTGCTATCGTAAAGTTGCATTAACCGAAGAACAATTTTTTGGTGATTTGGCATAAAGATTTTTCTGTAGTGAAAAAAGCAAAGTAAAAATATAATTGTAGAATCTTCTCCGATTATCAGAGCCAGGTTTCGATCCTGGGACCTGTGGGTTATGGGCCCACCACGCTTCCGCTGCGCCACTCTGATTTGAGGATTGTATTCTCCAAATTTTGACAAAGATCGCTAAATTCTAAAAAAAGGAAGAGTTTCCAATATCAATATAGAGTAGAAACCTGGCTGATGACTCTTTAATGTCTTCACTGAATTACAAAGATTCATTAACCACACTTGAACTAAAATCCAAATGGTTAATTTATTTCGAATTTAATGTTTACGCAACAATTTTAAAAACAAAAAAAAAAAAAAAAATCTGTGAGTCATTTGACTTACGCCTTTCATTAAGTCTTTTAAAAAATTAATGGCCCAATATTGTGCTAGATAAAATAGCCATTAAGGATTATGCAACGCAACAAATTTGTGTATATATTAGTTAATTTTTAGGGATCTTTTAGATGCGTTTGGTCCACTTTAATTTGGGTAATATTCAAGCGCGGTATAGATTAGTTAATTGAAGGATTTAATTTATGATGTGTTTATATGATTTAACTTAGTGTATAAGCTTTTGAATCCGATTTTCTAACGGACGTTGGTTTTGTATAAATATAACTTTCATTACGTTACATGTGATACTTGAGTTTGTTTTCTTAGTAGAGTATGAAGGTTATCCGATCCCCCGAGTCCATGTTCTTTCCAATAATTGCTATCATGCTTTATTTTTGTGTTGTTTGATGTTATCATTTTCGTTTCATCTTAGGTCATACAAAATAGTGCAATACCCACCGCCAACCGCTATAGTGATGGGCGTCACCTCATCACCACAACCTATCACTATGACCGTAGGATGCATAACACCGAACACACTACTCCACATAGGCTTGCCAGATTAATAGTTTAATTACTGAAAGTTTTATCTTTTTTATTGAAAAAAAGTTACAAGAAATCAATAAGAAGGTTGAAATTGAACATTCTATAATAAAAGAATAAAATTAAAAAAAAACAATAACAATAAAAATAATTTGTATATATATGTCACGAGAGCAATACAAATATTTTTTGCCAAACTTGAATTTTTAACTGGTTTAGTAGATTAAAATGAATAACATGATTCCAATGAAACTAAATTAAATGACGAATACCATACTAGTGACAATTAAAACAATAGAACTTTAGAAAGATAAGTAATACATTATTATGGGTCGTTATTGTAACATCCCGAAATATCAAGAGTAGAGTTGAAGGGCTAAAAGAGTAAATTGGGAAAGAGCGACTCGGCGAGTCCATGTGTGGACTCGGCGAGTAGAGTCGCGACTTGGTCTCGTGTTAAGTGGCCGACTCGGCGAGTCAGTGTATTGGACTCGGCGAGTAGGCGCTGAGTGGAGAAAACCCTAATTCTCGGGGTTGAGCCTTATATAATGATCATTATGTCTTCCTCCCAGCCCCTTTATCACCCCTTGAGCCCCAGAAAACCCTAAATCGCGGAGAAGCACCATTGTTGAGTGGGTTGGAGCTTGGAGAAGTAATGGTTGAAGGAATTTTGGGAAGATTGAAGGCTTGGAGCAAGGGGCTTTGCTTGGATTCGAATTTCATTGTAGTTGGGGCATCACTTAGAGGTAATATCTCGTTTTTGACCTGTTGTTATGTTGTTTCTTCATTTTGGGGTTTGTGAGAAATTGTCTATGGATGAAATGGGAAGTCTAGAGGTTAGATCTGAGGTTGCTACCTCAGATCTGGAAGGGAGAAGAATCAGAGAGCATGAAAATCCCTGTGTTGGAGTGTTTACTGAAGCTTGCATGTCCCAAACCCTAGCCCCAATGTGCAAACGGCTTAGATCTCTTTGGATTCACGTAAAGTTTGCCACTTTACATGATGGATGAGTGGTAGGAGGCTAGATCTATGTCTTGGAGCAGTTGCATGGCCTGGAATGCTTCGGAATGTATTCAGACCGGCGGTACTCGGCGAGTCACATGGGTGGACTCGACGAGTTGGATGATGATGGCCTGGAACTCGGCGAGTTGTATGAACAACTCGGCGAGTAGGTTGAAGATAGCCGTAGACTCGGCGAGTCTGTTTTCGTACTCGACGATTCTTGTCGAAGAGTCCCAAATATTTCCTGGTTGAGTCGAGAATCAGTGAGTCAAAGGATGACTCGGTGAGTTGGGTGTGAGTGGACTCAGAGTTGTAGGACTCGGCGAGTCTCGGGGTGACTCGGCGAGTTGAGTCGCGGATTGGGGAAGTTCTGATTATGGGAACTCGACGAGTCACAGGGTTGACTCGGCAAGTAGAGTCAGTCAGGGGTTGACCTAGACTGAGGACTTTGATTTCAACCAAGGGTTGGCCGTTGACTTTTAGGGTTTGGACAGCGATGTGGCCTTTGGGCCAAGAGAGAGGTAAAATAGTCTTTTACCCATAAGAGGGTGTTATGATAGGATTTATTCTAGCCTCGAGAGTTATATTCATGAGAGTATTTGCCTTACGTGTTAGGCGGTGGCGAGTTCGAGATTCAAGTGTGGGGATATCTGCTTTCTGCTTGCCAGGTGAGTCTTCTCACTATACTTTACCTTGAGTAGGTAACCAGAGTCATGTGATCAGAGTATTTGTATGCTATTTGTATGTGATGTGTTGTACTGCATTATTTCTATGTGACTTATGCTATGCATGTTTATAGAGTTGGAACTGGAAGGTTCCCAGAGTTAGAACCTGAGGGTTCACAGAGTTTGGGTGCACGGACCCATAAAGTTATAGCCTCGAGTGGCTAATATGTGTTATGTGTGGTATTTTGGGGAGCTCACTAAGCTTCGTGCTTACAGTGTTTTGTGTGATGTTTTTTTTAGGTTTCTTTCAGTATCACGGGATGGCACCGACTTGATTGTACACACCAGAGAAAGAGTCATATTTTGGAGGATCCTGGTTTTCTATGCAAGTGAAAATGGAATCATGTTTTGTAAATCGACTATGAATGAGATTTTAGACAAGTGTTTCTAAGAATAAAATGATTATTTTAAATGAAAACTTTGTCTTGAAATTTACGATGTTACAAGTTGGTATCAGAGCCTTGGTTTGAGGGATTCGAATGCGCCTTCGGGTAAATCTGGACTCAAACTGAGGAAGTAAGAAAAGTTTTTAAAGAAATAATTTTCTAAAAGTGAATAAGAGTTCAAAGAGAAAGCAAGAAGGAGCAGTGTGTACAATCAGCCAGAGCCCGAACGGTGATTTCCCAAAATACCCTTATTTTTGTGTTGTGAGATATGTATGATGCACT